CATTTTAACCATTTGTTTTGTGTGTTTGTGAGTTTGTTAGGGTCTGTTGTGAAATTGTTTCGTTAATGCAAAGTTGGATGAAATGCTGACTGAGCCCCGGAGCGGACCGCCAGCTGCGCGCTCTCGCGCGTCCTCTACTCGCTCCCGCGAGTCCACTACATTCTGTAGCGGCATAGAGCGGTGTTTCAACTTTTACGAGCCTGAAATATTTTTAAAACGGCCGGGAGAAAAACAGAGAAACAATAACCACAGGTAAATTAGAGGGAAAGTGACCGGCAGTATGAAAAGGAAAGCGAGAGAAAACACACAAAGGGCGACTGTGGCTGTGAGGGAGTGCGGTCGTCTTTCAACCAGAAGGTTGTGGGTTCGATCCCAGCCCATGCAGTCAACATGTCGATGTATCCTTGGGCAAGATACTTAACCCTGATTTGCTCCCGATGGCATGGCCAACGGTGTGTGAATGTGTGTGAATGTTAGGTCCTATAGAGTAAGGTACACTGCTCTGTATGAATGGGTGTGAATGGGTGAATGACATGTAGTATGTGAAGCGCTTTGAGGGGTCTTAAAGACTGGATAAAGTGCTATATAAGTACAGTCCATTTACCATTTACCATTGCAGCTGTGCATGTTGCTAGCGGGTTGCTAGGACACCTCACGAGCTGCGCCAGGTGATCTAAACAAGAACATCTCCATAGACCAGACCGTCTCAGTTTGTAGACTGCTCGGTTCAGGGTCCAGCCTACGGCTGTCGGTGCTATTTCTCTGTAAATCCATGCTGAATTGGACCTTCTGTTTCATTCTTCTTCTTTAATGGCGACTTCCAAACAGAGTAGACGAGAATTATCGCCACCTACTGTATCACTGCAGCATTGTTCTTTGTTACTTCCGTTTCATTACCATAGTCGATAGAGGTTTCTCAATACTCTAATTTCCCCTCCTCGACTCCTATCCTCGACTCCTATCCTCGAGACTTAGTGCCGCCCACAGGATATGCGAGCGGAGGACTGAGGAGGGGAACCGAGGAGAGAGGAGGGGAAGCAGCAGGCGCTTAGAGAAATGAGAACTCCTCTCCTCTGAGCGGTCATTTTAAAGAGACGTCCATTAATGATGACAGGAGGCACAGCAGCCCTCTGTCTGATGGACAGATGTGTTCATGAGGACGACTTATATATTTACTTTTAATTAATTGACAGGGCGGTATCATGAGACAATAACAGGCTACAGATGCGGACATATACACACACATTTATATAAATATATAAATGTGTATATACAATTTCAGAATCAAACAAGTATGAGAGCACTCTCATAATAACGTAACACAATCAGAGACTGGATATACCCCAGTATAACATTACATCACTAAATATTTGTTATGACCTGGGTGATATTAATTCTTAATTGTATTACTTTTCACACAATTTGCCATCATTTATCTATATCTTGTAACATCACTTCCCTGTCCAAGGGACAGGAACATGTCTGACAGAGGGGAGCAGGAATAAAAACTCACTGAAGTACATATTCAGAGTGTTTTATTGATTGAGCTCTCACAGAGGGATGGAGTCAGTGTGAAAAAAAGACAATGTTGTGAACCAGATTATTGAATGTTTGAAAGAGAAAGGAGGATTTTTGTGGCAACACAAACAAACACACACACTTGACATATGACTCACTGCTAAGAGTGTGTCCATACAAACACACACACACACCTACAGGCCTGCCTGGTCCTACACAGCCCCGTGCAGGTACAGGGACAGGAACTTGCTGAATGCTCCTGGCTTGTATCCTGCCAGACCAGCTGGTACCTGCAGGGAGACACACAGCAACCAATCAGAATCAACTTTGCTCTGCTGCTCTTTCCTGTTATCCAATTACAGCACATTCCGTTTTTAAGGAGATGATGCCAAGCTTCCTCTCTACTCGGCCTGATCATAGAATATAGTAATAAATTAGCCTCGATTGTCTAGTTCTATTTGGTTTATCTCTCTTTGTGTCGTGATGCAGACTCTCATTGGACCAAACTGATTTAAATAATGGTAATGTTTGTGACTTACTATAAGTTACTCTAAGTTTGGGTCACAGTTATGGACAGAAAGAGATATTAGGATCTTACCTTCACTTGCTTCTTTTTGATGAGTGGTCGGACTTTTGCGAAATCATAGAGCTCAACATCTTCATCCAGCCACACCTGCATGTAGCAAACAGCATTTAAACAGCCAGCAGACAACAAAGAAAATGCAGAAAACTCATTTTTTACATCTAACAAAAAGTTCCTTTACCCCCGCCCACCAAAATCACCGAAGCAGAGACGCGCACCATCTCCCCCGTCTTCATCACCGTGCCTACGTCAACCGCCTCCCCCCCCCCTTCAAGACAGCATCTGCGGTCTCCGAAGCCTGATAAGAATGTGTGTTCACAAAATGCAGCAAACTCTAACTGATATGTGCTGGGTCCAGGCTCAAGGGCGTATGGCACTCTCAACTCTTTCCAGGACATGCCAGGGCCCTGCCTGCCTGTAGCTTTGCCTATATCTGTGTTGATAGGTAATAGATTAAGTGCGGTGAATCAGCTTAGAAACAGGAAGCGCTCAAACGTTTGTGTGAGTTTATCAAATTTAGCAGTGATTCCATGTCAGCCACAGCTTGTCAAAAAAAATATTACTGATAGTGTATTTAACAAACTTAAACTAGCTTTATTAAATGTCAGATCTTTGGCAGGAAAAACGTTTTTAATCAATGACTTTATCACTGAGCACAATCTCGACTTTATGTTTTTAACGGAAACTTGGATTGAACAAAATAACAGTGCAGCTGTCGAATCAACACCTCTTGTGTTCTTGATAACTATGGACTGACTCAGCATGTGACGGAGCCCACGCACAATAAGGGGCACACTCTGGACTTAATTATCTCAAAGGGTCTGAATATCTCTAAGGTTGTGGTGACTGATGTTGCACTCTGACCATTCCTGTGTTTTCTTTGAGAGCTCTATTTCTGTTCACAAATGTTTTCAAAAAGATGTAAACACAAAGCGATATTTAACTGAAAATACTAGGGAAATGTTTACTCGTAATCTTTCTTCCACACTTGCCCCTGCTAATATCTCATTTTAATTTAAAAATAAAAAATGTTATAGATGCCTCCAACCAAGGTAAAGGAAGTGTCTGGCAAGAAAATATCTCCATGGAGAAAGGCCATGACCGTGAAAACAGCAAAAAAGAGTGTCGAAAAGCTGAACGTAGGTGGCGAAAAACAAATCTCCAGGTTCACTTTGAAATCTATAAAGAGAGACTTGGCCTTTATAATTTGGAAATGAAAATTGCACAGTCTTTCTTCTCTGACATCATTACCAAAAACAAAAACAACACACTTGCCTTGTTTGCTACCGTCGACAGACTAACAAACCCCCAGTGTCAGTAGCCTCTGAATTTCTATCCACCAGGGCCTGCAATGACTTTGCCTCCTTCTTCACTGACAACATTCAGAAAATCAGACAAGCAGTCAGTGCCTCTGCATCAGGTACAGCAAATGTGTCCACTTAAAATCAATTCAAACACCATCACACAATTCCATCAGATTAATGATAAAAACCTAGAGGACATTATTCAACTTCTGAAATCCTCCTCCTGCTGCCTTGATATTATTCCAACAGGATTTTTCAAAGAGGTTTTTCGTTGCATGGCCTCAGATCTACTTCATATAGTAAACAAATCTCTTCACTCAGGTATTTTTCCACAGGCCCTGAAAACTGCA